AGACCTGCGGAGATAATAACATGCACAAAAACAAGACAGAGCAAAACCAAGCAACAATATACAACAAAACAACAACAAACCAATGTCAAAAAACAAAACAAATCACAGCAAGAAAGAAATGCTTGTAGTTAGTTCAAGGACTGTTAGTTGGTCTTTAGGGGTGTTTTCCAGTCTAGTCTGTTGGGGCGCCACGCCCTGGCCCCAAAGTCCACCTTCAGCATTCTCTGGGGACCTCACCGCTCCATTCCCTTGCTGTTCTGTTGCACCCCCTTAGTGTTTTGCCTCGGTGTGGTGGGATCAGATCGGGTGCAATTCCCACACTGTGTCTCCGGTGCTGTCCCCTGTAGGGCTATGGGTCAGTGAGGGACGTCATGTCTCATAGGGGGGCCCACCATGTGGTCCTCTCTGTGGATTGGCTGCTCTAATTGGGATCATTATCCTCAAGGCTTGGTGGGCCAGGATGTGCGCCACTCTCTCCTCCTCCGATTGTACAACTCTTCTTGATATGATTAAACAACTGAATTATACGATATGTGGATGAAGTGCCAATGAAAATGTTCAAACAAACACACACACACACACACACACACACACACACACACCCCACCCAGCTAGATCCTGTAATGAAGTCACTACATAGTTGTACAAGGTGAGTACAACTACCACAGCAATTCTGTCTAGCTCTCCAGGTAAAGGCCTTGTGTATCAGCCTTCCCTCATCATCTCCGGACACCTTGCCATATGCAAATTGCTCTGTGCCGTGGGAGACGAAGGCAGGGCCACAGTCCCAGCATCTGGATGGCAGCAGGGCTTCATCACTGGGTCTAGCTGGGTGGTGGTCTTGCATCTTCCGGCTATAGCTGACTGGAGGTCTTGCTATGTCCACCTGAAACTTGGCAAGTCCCCTGCAGATCTTCACTAGAACTATCCACGTCTAGACCAGGCCCTGACAAAGTGGAGACAGAGACATGGTGGCTATGTCGCTGAGCCCTGCTTAGGAAACACTGCTTCAGTCTCTCCTGAATCACTCTAAAGGGTTTGCTGAATTGAATTCTAAGTATTTACCAGAAATCATCTTTTTCACTATAGCTTGCAGCTGTATTTTTAGCCACGAGATGGCGCCCAAGCACTGCTTTTGGGGGGGAAATCAGTTCCAGGACCTCTGCTCAGGTGCCACCAAAAAACAAACCCAAACTCATTGCCAATGAAATCTATGCCAACTCAAAGTGACCGAATGTGCCAGTTTGCCTAAAATAAGACAAGGGGGTTTCCAAATGCTCCCGGGACAACTCCCTTCTCTTTGCACTCCAGAGCTCCACCAACCTGATGAAGTCCCTCCCATACCCTGCAGCCCTGCCTTGTCTGAGAACTCGGGAATTCTTGGCCTGCCCTCTCTGACCACGACGATGGCGATGGCAATGGCAACAAATGGCTTTTGCACCAGGAGCCCACCAACTATCGCCTGGGGGAGGGGCACCTGTGCTGCAAATGGTTGCTACATTTTATTAATAACTGAAAAAAACATCTAAAGATTTCCTAACATGAGCATCGCATGGTATGCAGGCGTGCTGGTAGCACCCCCAAGTAGAGTTCACTAGAGCCCTGCCTGGCCACCCATTTCCGCCTCTGCCGTGGTGGGTTTGGGTATACTTCATACAGACTGCAAGTGGCCTGCAAAAGCCTAAAATACGCACTGGTCGTTGGCAGAAAGGCTTTGTCGACGTCTCTCTAAGAAAGGAAAAGACTGCTATTTCAATCACTGAGTTCATGGCAAGAGACCACCTGACGTCTCGGCTGCAATCATGTTTAAGGAATGAAAAACAGAACCCTGGGGACAATGTTCCTCATAATCCTCATGGCCGCATGACACTTTGAGGATACTCTGACAGAATTAGACTAAGAAATGGTGACAGGATTTCCCAGTGCAATCACAACACCAAGTTTAAAAAGGTGAGAGAAAAACAAAACAAAAAACCGGTGCAGGGATGGTGGTCAGTCCAGGAGGAAAGTCCGGCCTGAGCTTCTTACCTCATTTATTTCATTATTTCGTCTCCCTTCAAAGCCAGCAAACGCCGCACTCGCTTCCTTGCTAGGAGTAACAGGAATGGGGGACGATGATCCGCTATGCACTGGTGTCTCTGCGAACGAAAGCCATGTGTTCACTCACCTGGGAGCGGCCGGCAGCTGAACACAGGCCATCACAAACCGGTTCTCAGAAGTGAATGCATGACAGTGAGATGCTTCTCTCAGAAAGAGCAGTTGGAATTGCATTTGGCCCAAAGGGGGAAAACACCCAGTCCCTCCGTTGTTGTTGTTAGGTCCATAAACTGATTCTGGTTCACAGTGGGCCCATCTCCAAGCAAATGAAACACGGCACCATCCTCACCACTGTCACGCTGGAACCTGCTGTTCCGGACACTGTCCACCCTTCTCCGAGGGGGCCTTTCTAGTTCTCCCTGGCCTTCTTTTAAGCACGTCAGTATTTTAAAAGGTTTCTTTAAAGGTTCACCTTCTCTCAAGGAAGAGGTTTTGCTTAGTGAGCACTGAGTTTATGTTAATGGTGGTAGAATAAAATTTGGAAAAGGATATTAATCAGGGTTGCACAACAAGAAGAGTATAATCATCAATGGCACTGAATCATACATGTAGAAGTTGCTGAACTGCAGAATGTTTTGTTGTATATATTCTTGCCACAATTAAGAAAATAATTACACAAATAAATAATGAGTACCAGGAAGAAGAACACGTTCTGAAACTGAAAATGGTAATGCTAGTACAACCCTTTTTGGTCCGATTGAGCTACTGCTTCTATGAAATGTGGATCAAGTGCCAATAGAACTGTTTAAAATAAAGCACGATAAATAGCAGTCTGGCTTTTAAAAAGAAAGAATAAAAATAAAGGTATACCTTCTCTCCCTTTCCTCTTTCCTGCCAAGCCTCTTTGGGCATCAGTAAATCCAAATCCCTCATCACCACCTGAAGCTAACCTAACTACGGGCTGAGCACTGCACTGGTGATGGTGGGAGTAAGGCCGCCAGCGAGTCAGACACAGGCTTGGATTTGACACCAAGGGCGAGTCAATGCCAATGCCACCGTCAGGAGGGAGCCTGCCTGGAGAAACCTTCGAGATGTGCTGACGGGATTATCCAGGTAGGCAAGAGGCAGGGGTGAGGGGCAGCAACCTGGAGGATACTCATGGAGGCCCGGCTAGCACTGGCGAAACGAACCAGACCTAAACACCCAAACCAGCTGCTGGCGAGTCGATCCCGATTCTCAGCAAGCGTATACTGGTTTCTGAGTTGTCAATCTGTAGGGGATCAGATGGCATCATGTTCTCCCTCCAAGGGGTTGGTGGGTGAAGCACTGAACTGCTGCGCCCTGGGGCTCCTTCAAGATGACCCAGAGGACTCACTCTGCCATTGGGTGGGGGGTGATGGTGGGTCCAGCTCAGACTTGGAGGCCTCGCAGAGTCAACAGCTTCCAGTCCTGTCACCTACTCAGTCACCCTTGCCTTTCCAGAGGCACCACTCAGCCCTCCCTGGCACGCAGTATTACAGGATGGCAGCATTCTGCAAACCCTGAGCCCTGGGGACTGTGCTTGTGAAGGTGGCCCGGGCACGGTGGCGGGGCTTAAAGAGGTACAGGCCAGCTGGCCGGCCACGTCATTCCTTTTCAGGAGAACTCGAGACAAAGGGCTTCCCATTTTTTGTTCTGTCACTCGATGTAAGAATGCACAACCACTTGGAGGCACTTGTTTCCCAAGAGTGCTGTGTGCACTACACGCCAGTTCCTGATAGTTGTGGATTCATTATATGCAAAAATTGATGGTACTTGGTGTATACACTGAACAGTCATATTTTAATTAACTTGGGGAACTGTCTGGTTAGTGTGTGCTTTGGGAGCTAATATTAGCTTCCAGAGTTAAGTGTAGCCAATTTAATGATTTATTGTTTTAGTGTAAATGGGTTTTAATTTGAAAGCTAAGGGATTTACTACATTTCTTTCATTGAAATTCGTAGTAATTGCTTTTTTGACTTATGACCATCCATCTATTGTGGAGCTTTTGAGGAACGAATTACTCCTTGAAGATTCTTAACGACACAGCCCATCCCCAGGGGCACTAGGGGGTCTGGCTTCCCAAGCAAGTCCGGCAGCTTGGAGGGACTTGGGCAGTGCTGTCTTGGTGTTGCCAAGAGCGACCTTGCAGGTGAAAGCCACTCCTCCTCCTCTCTCCAAGAGTTGGAGGCAGGCCCCCACTCTGGTCGGCCTAGACACCCATTCTCCTCCACCCTCACCATGGGTCCCGATGCCTCAGGGGCTCTGAGGAAAGGCTCCAAATGAGGAAAGGTCCTGAAGGAAATCAGGCCAACATACGACCCCGGCCAGGTTCACATGGGACTTGCCCGCAACTGCAGACCTGGAGTGCATGTGAAATGAGGCCACCATTCTGCCAGGACCAAAGAATGACTGTGCATGTCACATGAAACCCCGGAACACACACACTCCAACAGAGTTCCAGCTGGGCTCTGGCCAGCCGGCACTCTCACCCAGCTGCGTGGCAGCTGCAGGCCCCAAACACCACAAGTCCTTCCTCTGCTGACAAAGGCATGCAAATCGCGCCAGCAGACCAAGTGGCCGGCAGCCCCCAAAGATGCGCCATCTGGTCCTATACAGGAAGAGCCCTGTGGTGAAGTGCTGCCCCGCAGTGGCTAAGTCCACGGCTGCTAACCGCGGTCGGCAGTTTGAACCCAGCAGCCACTCTGAGGGACAAATACGTAAAGATGACAGCCATGGGAAAAGCGTGGGGCAGTTCGTCTCGACCCTACGGAGGCACGATGAGTCAGAATGGACTCAGTGGCCAGGGGAGAAAAAGTTGGCCAGCCCCTGCTGAACCACATTCCGTTATTCGGAACTTAGCAGGACTTCTCTACGAGGGGGATTCAAACAATTCCGTTTTTCCACGAACTTTTTGAAGGCCCTTTGGATGGATGGCAACCACACTGACTTCTACTTGTGTGACTGTGATTGAGCTTGACTTCTGCAAGTCACTATTAGGGAGACCAGATCATGCCTTCTATTGTATTTAAGAAAACTGTAAGGCTCACGCTCAATTTCCAACTTTCTCTAACCTAAAACACTGGAGAACCATATTTGGCAGTCGGGAAACAGTGTGTCCGCTACATGCTTTTGACGAAGCGTTTAAGTCACCAGCCTTCAAAGTCTGATGCTACAGCAAACCCATCTTAACATGAATTTTGTAAAACACAGACTAACAAACAGTTAATAAACTCCTCCATCATCTAGCCTACTAAAATCCCAGCTAAATAGCAAGGCGAGCCAGTCTGAAGGCACCGGGGCCAACTCACTCTTGCTTTACCTCCGAAAGGCACATTCAAAGTGAAAACAGACGGAGGCAGGCCACCGTAAAAGTAAGCAAACCTAAGAGTGGCTCCATCTGAAGTCTTTGCGAGGAAGATGCCAATAATTCAATTTGCTCGAGACCCCACCCAAGCTCACTGCCACACATCGATTGCAATGAACAGTGCTGCTCTAGGACAGCGTGCCAGTGCCCATGGCGAGGTCAAGGCTGCTGTCTTTAAGGAAGTCTTTCTGCTGGGATACAACTGCTGATCTTTCGGTGAGCAGCCCAACCTCCCCCACCTGCCCACCCCCCACCCCCCGCCAGGCTCCTTAGTAATGCGGCCTCCCCTATTTCTCCACTGTGGGAACCCGGTAAGTTGCTCTATCTTGCTCTGGCTCAGATTCTTCCAGAGAGAATCATCATGGCACCCGTGAGTGTGTGCATGGAACCTGGCACAGATGAAGCACAACATGAATGCCAGCCAGTTCCGAGCCCCCCCC